AGAAAAGGCGCCCGACCCAGTTGCCATGGCAACATCTGGACGACAGCTTCCGCTGCAAACAAAGTGACTCCCGGCACAACATATTTTAAGTTATATATATTAAAAAAACAAAAAAAAACAATAATCACATTTAACAACAGCGGAAATTTGAATGATGTAATCAGTCCTGGTAGAAGGCTAATGGAGGAGTTGGGCGCAAAGTGGACGTCCTCTGTGTTTGTTTACGTTTGAAACCATGATTAAATCAAGGCCCAATTAGCTTTTAATAGGCTTGGGCGAGCCAATGAGTGAGCGAGTGTCTCCCGAGGCAGGAAGTGAGTGCAGAAAAGGAAATGAAAGAGAGTGGGGACATGGCGCCCTCGGGGGATTTTTTCTGAGAACCAAAGTCATAATTAGTTCATGGGTCAAAGATTTATAGCAAACGGAATCGTGCGTACAAGCATTTTTTTTTTCTGGGTGACGTGACGTCCATTATTTAGGCGGCACGTCGGTGCTTCCTCATCCCTACGTTTCGGTGCAGCTCGTTCATTAATAAAAAGTCCCCCCCGCCCCTTCACTCATGTATAATTGATGACATCATCCATCTCTGAACCGCTCCAAACATGCCCGCCATATGTCCACGTTCCGACCCAGATATGCAAGAAATGTCCAAACTCATGAAATGAGGAATTTGGCTGAACTGTGCCGTGAATGAGGAATGTAAAAAAAGAAAGCACGTCTCGACCCCCATAAAATCCGAAACATTGGAATGATTGTTTTCATATTTTCAGAGGTTGAAGTGGGCATGAGTACAGATGTGCACATTCATTTTGGTTAGGATTGTTTTGAGTTTTGGGACACTAAACGGCGTTCAGCTTTTTTTTTTCTTTAGGAGATGGCCACATTCATTTTTGGTGACGGCAGTTTGACATTCAGCGACGTTAATTGCGCTTACATTGAACATTTTAGACCGTCCCTGTGAACAGTTGCTACATGGCTGCGTATTTGCCAGCTCTCTGTTTACCGAGTGAAGTGACCGTCCATTATTTCTTAACGTCTGAACAAAGACAGAACGCTCAACTGGCCTGGACGAAGGCTTGCGGAAAGGGCGGGTCACAGGGAGGATGTGGTCAAAATTTGATTACAGGCCAGAAAAAAAGCAGACGGGAAAATGTTGCGATTGGGACAGAGAAGACCTAAACATTGGGTTGCCTTTCCTGACGCTGCTAATCTTATCTTTGAGTTTTGTGAACGCACAGCAGGGAGAGCGCACGTCTACATTTATAACTTAAACGCTCCTGCTTCACAAATTCAGATAATATGGTGTCCGAGACGGCAACATTTGCTCTCAACACCAATTGCTGAACATCTTATTTACTTCCGCACACCGGGTTCCACGCACCCGCACAGATTGTTTTTCGAATAAGCGCATATAGCTGTGACGCCCGCCAGGGTTGCCACAGATACAGGTCATTAGCGACGCCAGCCCCCCCCCGCCTGCCTGCCACTCAAACGATCACATTCAGGATGACCCTGATAAGAGAGACAACACAAGGGAGTTGCCATGGCAACAAGAGTGAGATAATGCCTGTGTTTGTGTGTGTGATAAGTGGCCACTAGTTAATAAGTTGATGTGACACACACACACACACACACACACACACACACACACACACATACATACACACCCCCGCCCCAAATAACTGTAAATTGAAATAAGCTTCAAAAAGAGAGGGAAAAAAAAGCCCAACATTTGCATGGCAATTGGTCGCTAAGGAGAATTTGTGACTTGGTCGCATCTTGAACGTGAAGACTTCAGGATATTGACGAAATCATTCATGAAACGTGTCTAATCCGCTCATAATCATCTTCGGTTCACTAGCAAAGGCTGCCGAGCCAGTTGCCATGGCAACATCTGGACGACAGCTTCCGCTGCAAACAAAGTGACTCCCGGCACAACATATTTTAAGTTATATATATTAAAAAAACAAAAAAAAACAATAATCACATTTATTTTTGTCATTTCAAAAATAAATAAAAGTAGAATTCATATTTTTAACACTCAATGATTAGTGTCATATATTCGGGTAAGTATCAAGTATCATAAAAGTAAGGCAAGTAAAGTAAAATATAGTACCAAAAAAACAAAACAATCATAATCATAACGGCCGCCAAAATAATAATAATACGTTCAAGTCTGTCGAAGCTTCCGCTTGTACAAACCCAAAGATGTCCGTGAAGAATGCATAAAAGTTGGGGTCGTGGCGGGTACCATCTGGCCCCTCCTCCCCACCAGCTCACCACGCCTCGGTTAGGGGGAGGGGGGGCGGGGGGGAAGATCAGGCTGAAGTGAAAGGTCACCACACCCGGCAGGATTGTGCGCCTCTGTTCATTGCCGACGAGTCGGAGCAGCTGAAGGCCTTGCTGAACTCGGGAAAGTTACTCATTGCTCCGATCACCCTGCGGGGGGAACCCCAAAAATTAAAAATCATTTTCATGTTTGTTGCTCCAAAATTCTCTGCTCTTTTTGTGCTCAGGCCAAAGTAAATAGGGCACAGGAACTACGTTGAAGTGGGTGGAGGAGCTTAATCTCAACAAAAGTCATGCTTTGTTATGTGCAGAGGAACTTGTTGAAGATAGGAGCTTCGTTTGGACCAAAATAGCACTTTGCCGCAATCTAAATGCCGAGGAACTACGTTGACGTGAGTTCAGGAGTTTCATTTAGACAAACGTCGTACCTGACTGCCATCTTGGTGCAGCCGAACTATGTCAAAGTGGGTTAAGGAGCCTCATTTACACAAGAGTACTTCTTGGTCATTGCGGTGGGGAGGAGCAACTATCTTGTAATGAGTTGAGGAGCTTCATTTCGATAAAAGTAGTGCTTTGCCGTCATCTTGTGCCATCTTTTTGGCCAAAGAACTTTTGTGCTGTTTCTATAACACTCCAAGATGCCACAGGAGACCCTTAAAGTCATATTTGCGTCAAAAAAGTACGATGAAGTGATACATTTCGACTGAGAGACTGACATCGTCAGAAGTTTTGCCTGGGTTATGGAAAATCTGAGATGGAGTCAACTGGGATAGACTCCGCCTCACTGTAAACCGAGCTCGCGTTCATGTCCTCACCTGTACTTTGGCGGACTGTGCGCACCGCTTTGTACTTGGTCTCTGGCGGCCTCGGTTCTGTACGAGTTGCAGCGGACCTGCGGGCGCACGGAGCGAACGAGTCAGGCCGCAAGCGGAGTTTCCAGCTGGAGAGCATGCGTCCTTACGTGTGAGTAGCTCAGGAAAAAGAGCTGGTTGTTGTCGAGTCCCACGCCGGGTAGAAGAGGCTCCTCCACACCTCCTCGGCTCTCATCCACCCAGCGCCGGTACGCCTGACGTAGGAAACAACAATCGGACCCCCGCCTCACCTGCGACGCCGACGCTAATGTGATCATACCTTGAACGCTTGTCGTATTCCACCGTTGTCTGCGATGTTCTCTGCTAGCGTCCTCTTACCACGGACCTGCACAACAAACACACACACACACACACACACACACACACACACACACACACACACAACAGCCATGATCAGCGCTGTTTCTGACAGAGTTAGCTGCAACAGTAGCATTGCTAACGGTTAGCCTGTCTAAGGCATTTTGCATTGTGAGTTAGCATTAAGCTGGCGGACAATTCAAAGGAAGCGTCGTGTGGTTTGTTTTATTAATGCAACAAGTGTTTCTCATTATTTTCGATTTAGTTTGACAGCAAACTTCAACTGTTAGCAGAAATAAAGAGCGTAAAGCCTTATTAAAGAAAATAGAAATAGAGCTTGTCTCTCAAATCAAAGTGACGGCTCGCGTCTCGAAAAACCTGAAGTTATGTCAAAGGTGCTTTGTCGGCCTTTTGTGGAATAGTGGGGCATGAGAGAAAGTGCACAACAATATGGAAGTAGCTGCAAACTTTGGTTACACCAAAAAAAAAAAAAAAAAGTAAATTTGCAAGCCGATGTAATTTATAAAATGACACGAGACAATAGCAACACATTACAGCAAAGATCCTTCCAATGCAGGTGCCGGGTTTGTGCACCTGATTTGTTTTGTCCCGTTACAATTCAATTTGATTGTGTTGGGCGTAGTTCCACTTGAAGCCACTAGGCGGCATACTATTGTCTTCCACACTGTAAAATTGAAAGAAGAATGAAAAAGTGTTTCATGCTCAGTGTCATTTTTGCCAAAGAGATTAGAAAGATGACTGAATTTCTCAAACCTCTTTGATCCTGCATTTTATGCCCACGGAAAGCATTAATTTCATAATACATAACTTTATGTGTGTTACTTGTGAATTTTGTTGACTCCAAAAATTGCAGACAGTTCTTACATTTAATCCCGCCTCCTCCCAGTAGTAGTCATTGTACTGCTCCACCATGCACTGAGTCTTGTCTGTGAAAGCCGTCACCGACGAGTTGCTCCACCACTGTTCCAGGTTGCCGTCCTTGTCGTACTTCCGCCCTAATCCGGAGACGATGGGAGAGAAGGTGTTAAACGGTGCCGACACATTGCGGCTATTGGCTCGATTTGCCGCAGGCACCGTTGTTGTCGAAGCCGTGCGTCAGCTCGTGTCCGACGATCACGCCGATGGCGCCGTAGCTCAAAGACCTGCGAGACCACCACAAGAACAAGGTTGGTCAAGCTTGCCCCACAGGTGACCTCTAGTGACCAAGATGTGTTTGGCCAGAGATGAGAAATAAGTTCATTTACTGATACAATGTAAACTCACCCTAAATATGGTCATTTAACCTCACCTTGGATACTCTTTCCCCCAAAAGAAGGGTTTTTGGAGCTCGCCAGCAGGGAACCCTGAGAAGGAAATGGCAATATTTTTTTCGTGTACTCTCTCCTCTGTCATTACGGAGAGCCAGTTTTGGGTTATGTTAGCATTTCTACCTCCTGACATAGTTAGCTTCCATCGCTAACAAGCCAGCTTTCGTCTACCATACAAATACAAATGAATCTTACTGATCTGGTTGGTGGAGGAGCTGTAGAAGGCGTTGACCGTGGTTGGGTTGGTGAACCACCTGCAGCGTGAAACAAACGCATGAGAACCACTCGTGTTCCATTTTACTCATCTTTCAGCTTGTACGCGGCCAAAAAGTCTGACCATTATGTTTTGAATGCTCCTTTGCTCGTGAGTGAAAAATATCCAATTGTCTTGTGTCCTACATGTTCATTTTTGTATTTATGAAGAGCACTTTGCTTCAGATGAAGTTTAAAGGACTCCATCAATCAAAGTGAGTTGAGTTAAATTGCTATTTTTACTTAAGTGCCATCGACGTCAACTGCAGTTAGTGACATTTTTTTTTTTTTTAATGGGAACGGGTCAGGAAAAGTATTGGCCATCTCCGGTTTAATCATTAAAATCAAAATTATGTCATTCATTTTGCACCGTTAAAGTGCACGAAGCCATTAAATGCCCATTTGAGATGAGTACATTAAAAAAAAAAAAAAAAGCTCCCTTGACCGAGTGATAAATGATGTCATCTGGTAAAAACGTTAAAAAAACTAAAATGAGTCGAGAATGAAACCCATTTCACACAAACTCTAAGATTCAATCTAGTCTGACCAAATCTTGGGAACGTTCATGACAAGCTCAAAAATATTTGGTGGCTCACTCTGTGCGCGGGACCGTCTTTCGTAGCCAGGCCACGTCGGCCTGAGCGATGAACTTCAGCGTCTGCAGCACATTGCCGTAGTAGTCGTTCTCATTGAAATCCAGCTGAAGGCGGGAATTCCGGTGACGATTTGTCAATCACGAGAAAAAAAAAAAAAAAGACAGGCATTTGAGTCGCCCGACTGACCTCCTTCAAGTCCTCGTTGAGGTAGGTGTCATTGCGAATGAATTCTGGGTAGCCCACTTTGGCCAGGACGGCGTGAGCCTGCGGGGCGGACGGACATGACTTGAAAACGTTTGAAAGAAAGAAAGGAGGAAGATGACGAGAAGGTTTTGGTGTCGGCACCTTTTCGATGGCTCTCGTCTTGGTCGCCTCGTCCATCCAGTCGTTTTCTTTCTGCAACATGTCGATGAAGGCCCGGCGAACGCCGTCAATCAGCTCGTCCATCTAACGGAGAGGACTTTTTAGGTGATACTTTCCAAAAGTTGCACACACACACACACACACACACACACACACACACACACACACCATATGTTTCTTATCTTCCTGGAAGTAGTTGTCGACAAAGAGGCGGCCCGTGGCGTAGACCAGCGCGTTCTCGATATAGTTGATGCACTTGTCCCATCGCGGCGTCAGAGAAGTGGTTCCGGTGGTCACCTGCCAAACCGAGGTCAGAATTCTCAGCGTGAGTGTGCTAAGAATGTACGCATGAATGCCATAACAATGCCGCTCACCCTCGCATAGTCAAGGTATCTGTACAGGAAACGGCGGCTGAGGGTGGTGAGCTTGGAAAAAACGGCTCTCCACTGCACGTAGTTAGCCACGGTCCTGCAGGAAGACGGAGATTCATTACGCCGTTACACGTAACCTCATTAGTCACTGTAATTGGTGGTAATGAGGGACAGGAATCCCTGGAGGGGCCTGTGCATGCGTCCTGTGCGTGTATACCTTGGGTCTGTGGCGTTAATGAGTTTAACAAGGTCCCTGAAGTACTGCGGGGCTCGTACGATGACTGGTTCCGAGGACGAGGTGACGCGAGATGGGTCGCTGTCGGACTCCACAACCGACTTGACGAAGAACAACCAGTCCAACTGCGGGAGAAAATGTACTTTTTATGAAAAGGTATAAATCATAGGCGTGTCTAGCCCATTTTTGGGGGGCGCTCGGGCACCCCTAAAATGGATCCAAGCACCACCAAATTTTGAAAGCTCTTCAGTTAGGTGTTAAACTCTGCAGTATTTGGTGGAATGTATAATTTAAGAACAAAAACAAAAAATGTTGAGCATAATGACCGTAAATGTCATTTTTAACTTTGTGTCACAATATCGATATCTGTAATATTAGTTTTGCTAATGTCTGTATAGATTCTCTATAATCCAGGTCATAATCATCCACAAAGGTTAAATTAAGGTGACTGGACCGAATTTTTTTTCATGTGTCCAGCCAACACAATACAATGAAATAAATGAACATACTTGTGGTAACTGCCGTTGCAGTCGGGACAGCGTGTATCTGTTGTACATGTTCTCGCTCGTGCGGTTCTCGTAGGGAATTATGATCTGCGGGAGCAACAACAAAACATGTCTTCGTTGTCCTGTGCGGTCCGTGTTTCATGTACTTGTTTGCAAACGCCGTCTTTACGTGAGCCAGCTTGGTCTCAAAGTCGAGCGCTTTCTCCATCTGGACCCGCGCCGCTTTCTGGGGAGCGCCCAGCATGACGGCCGTGTCCACCATCAAGCTCAGCAAGGCCGCGCGGTACTGCGCGCACACACAGAAAGCGTCACTCCACACATTTTGTTGCAGTGAATTAAAAAATATATATCTAAACACAATAGACATTTTTTCAAATGCCAAGTTTTTGTGAACAGCACAACCCAAGTGAAAAACAAGATGTCGTTGCAAAAGTATGCACACCCTCTCCTAACCGTGTTCGAACTCCTGCCAAATAGGAATCAGTGCACGTTTGCCCCCAAGTGAAGTGCCTCTGATTCACCCCAAATAAGAATAATAAAGTTCAGCTGTTCTAGGTGGCCCAAGTAAGCCGTTTTATCTGCGCTGAGATAGTCACCGCCTGTGCAGCAGAGGAGTTGGTGATGTAGTCCTCCCGAGACGGCAGTGACAAGGAGGCTTGATCCAGCTGCGTTAAAAAACAAAAAAAAAAAACAAAGACAAAAAAAACAAAAACATGAGTTAGCGTCAAAAAAAAAAAAAAAATGCAGCTTGTTTGACAGTGACAGTCCATTCCAATCAGAGATCGCACGCGTGGGTACACATGGCTGCTTTAATCATCTGGGGGCAAAGCAGCACTCCCAGACCGCACGTGAGAAACAGAAACACAAGTCTAACGTGGTGTGATGAAAATGATCGGAATCATCCTGTCAAAAAGTGGCAAAAAAAATGCAAATGCTGTCAATAACCAAATCTTTTGAGATTTGGTTGTTGACAGCATTTGCATTTTTTTGCATTACTAAAATAAAAATACAGTTGACCCATCTACGACAATAATTTTGGGGGGGTTGTTTTTTTTTTTTAAACAATTAAACCAAGTAAATGCTTATCACCAAATGTTATGCAATTTTAGTCAAATATATATATATTTTTTGTGACATTTTTGTTAATTTTGTGGCATTTTATCTTAAAATAGTTCAGTACTATCTGACTGAGTGATCGTGCGATTTCAAAAAAGTGGCACCAAAAAAAAAAACAAAATTTTTTTTTGCACCATAATATGATTTTCCATGCCCACCATTTTTGTTTCCTATGCCATTTTTTTGTAGCATGGAGCTTGGAAAGACTCTCGTGCTACTGGCAAATAGTCAACTTTTTGTACAGTTGCCAACAAAATGACCGTGAAGCCACACAAGCGCAACACTCAACTGGGCGTCTACCTTGATGATGTATTTGGAGGAGTTCTTGTCGTCGGGCGAGACGAAGATCCGGATGAGGACGCTCTTGCTGTGCTGGTTCCTCAAGCGGGCCAGCGTCCTCAGGAGGTTCCAGTCCTGCTCTGACCAGCGGAAGTCGCCGCCCAGGCCATCGCCCAACACGGGCCAGCGGAAGTCGGGCTGCTGAAGCGTCCTCAGCACGGGCTGCGCGTCCACCTCCTCCAGTAAACCTGATTTGTGAGTTATGTGACATCAGAAGGACGTCGAAAATGTGTCGCTGATGCCAATTGGAGTTGTTTGGCCTTGGCGGTATTTTTAGGGTCATTGTTCTCGTTCAAGTTTCTGCTTTTGAGAGGGACTCACTCTCGTTGATGCAGGAGCGGTAGAGAATCTTGGCCTTGGTCACTGCCTCCAACTCGTCGGGTTCAGCGGGAGCTTCCAGTAAGTCTACGAGGCCAAAATTTGGCTCTTAACCCTTTCAGGGTCAGCGGTTACTACATCGGACGGCTTACCGTGTTATCAGGTTACACGGTGCATGAAAGGGTCAAACATATTTTTGAGACATAATTTATTTTGGGGGTTTTTTTTCGCTCCACCGGCTGAGTACCTTTGAGTCGCACGTCCACCTGCTGGCGAAGCCACGGGTAGATCCCGTATGTGGACGAGTCTTCGGGAATTGGATTGTTCTCCAGCCAACCACCGCAGGAGAACGTGTAGAAGTCCTCGCAGGGGTCCACCGATTTGTCCATTTTGCTCAGGATGGCTCCAGCTTGATGGGCATTGTAATCCTTTACTTTGAGTTATTTTGCAAGAATAAGGCTGATCAAAATTTTTTAAATAGTTGTTCTGTTCTCACCTGCCTCAATGCACTCCGAGGTCAGACAGAACTGCTGCTCTTTGCTTCTTTGGGAAACTGAGGGCGAAGAATGCCGGTTAACTCTGCTCTCCAGAAGCTCGAGGACAAGCGCTCCGCAAAATAAAACGGCCCAGAAGACAAGCAGGTGTACTTAATGTCCTGGCCTGTTTTTCTCAAATCCTGCTATCATTTCCTGGCCGAAGGGATTTGACTCCGAGCAGGAAACGCCTCAGCGAAAACCGTCTCTTTGAGCCAGTTTTTGAAGACAATACGGTTTTGTGTTTCAAATGCGGTAACCCCCCCCCCCCAAAAAAAAAAAAAATTGCATCACAGGATCGCAACGCACCATTTTGGCCGCTTTCTGACTTCTGCCTTTGGCTTCGTTTTGGGATGTTGCAATGTCACGACCCCGTGGAATGTCATCCAGCTGTTTTGGAGCTTGCTGGTACTGTACTACCACCTCTTGGTTAGGAGCAGTACTGCAGAACTTTTCCCAGCATTTCTCACCCTTAATTGATTGGACTTGACAGTAAGATGCCGCGAATGCAACAACCCGCCAAGTGAGACCGCGGGTGACTTTTTAAAGAGCAAATCCGACAAGCGGAGCGCAGCGTCGTTGACCTCTGACGACCTCGACCGCGAGTGGAGAGGAAGCGACGAACGCCGGCTCAAAAAACAAGCGAGAACAAAAAAAAAAAAAACGTGGAACACTTGGCATTCTTGTGCGCGGTCACACGCATGGCGGGAGACAAGAGGGGTTTGCGATGGCGTGGGCGTCTGATTGCGCCGCATCACCTAATTACACTTCAGCGCCCGCCACAAGAATGCGTGACGGGCACCCGCACTTGAGCAGAACACCCAAAAGCCAAATGCTGCTAAATATAAGACACAACCGCCAAATTGTTTGAGATGATGTGAATGTTACTCAATCCGCTTGTTGAAAATGTCATCACGGCGGCCGTTGAAGAAAAACTGCAATTTGCCAAGTGGGACTCGCAACAGGATAAACATGAGTTCCGTATTTTCTCGGATAAAATTAGACATTTGGTTCCGCTCCAGGACTCCAAAATATATCATGTTTAGCGGCGGCATATCGTGACGGAAACCTCGTTTGTCCAAATATGGTCAACAATTTTGTGTTTCCACAACTCGGTACGAGCGGTCTTGCCCCCACGTCGTCTGTTACTTTGACGCATTGAAAGTGTTGGAAAGCAACTCTAATAACTCTCTTGCGCGCTTAAACTGTCGTAATAACATGATGTCGCTTCAAAATTCAAAGTCAGGAGGTTTCTCAGACCGTAATGAGTGTAAACAGTTCGGTTTGGAAGCATGTGAAAAAAATGGAGAGCCAGAATGCTTCCAGTGCAGAAGAAACTAGCCAGCCACCAAGGTACTTCACGGTACAAATTATTACACTGCTTTGTCAAGTCAATGTTTTATTTGTATTATCCATCGTGTTTTTTTTTCTTAGAAATAGCCTGGGGAAGATTATGAAACCAGAGGTGCTTGCTTTTGAAACACACTAAAAGCTTTCATCGAGCATGAGCGCAGACTCGAATTCGGATGGTTGGTTCTCCATGTATGTAATGCTTGATTGAGCACATCCAAAAAGCAGTGTTGCATGTTTTTTGGCGTCCCGAAAGGCCTCCCCCGGGCGAGTAACGCGTCGCGCGTTGGCGTTTTGAAACCTTATATCAACCAGAAATAGGCTGACACGAGTGAGGACCTGACTCAGTCTGCATGTATGCTTCTCTGTACAGTTTGAATTCCTCGCAAATTATAATGCAGCACGAAGCCCGCCCGGTGTGTGTGTGTGTGTGTGTGTGTGTGTGTGTGTGTGTGTGTGTGTGTGTGTGTGTGTGTGTGTGTGTGGACTCACCCACGATGAGTGCAAGCAGCAGAATCCCGCAGAGACACGCACACACAATCAAGGCAGTCCTATAGTGCCGGCTGTTGCCCCGCTCGGGTTTGACCCCGGCGCCACCGGCGCCACCGCTTAAATGCTCCGCTTCCATGATTGACAAGCTCACACATGAATTGGAAAAGAAAGAAAAATATTAGCGAGTGGAAGGATGAAGTTGGAATGTGACGGTGAGGGGATTGCTCTTACCTTCCGGTCAGCTCTACGGTGTCACTCTGCAGCTCCTCCAACTTCTGTCGGCCTTTTCAAGCCGCTCGCTCGCCCCTCCCGGAGTCACTCCTCCCTCCCGGTGCGTGTAGTGTGTGTATTTGTGTGTGTGTGTGGCAGCTGATGATCACCTCCAGCAGATTCCAACAATAGAAGTAGTTAAACATGGTGGTAAGCAGCCAAAGATATCTTCCATTGGATTTTTAAGTATTTTAAAAAATTTCTTCTCATAGTATTTGTCCCAATAATTTTTCCACTGTTATTTTTGGTATGTTGCCCAGTCACACTTGGACTTTTTTTTTTTTAAACATATTTTGCATCTCCTCAGTTATTTCCTTTTTTTTTTGTTGGTAGTTTTCATTAAAAACGAAAACAAAAATCACCATTTTAAACATGTTTCATCTTGTATGTTTACATTTTCTCATTTTTGTTTTCCCTTATTTTTCTCTCCAACTTTTCGATCCTATATTTTTGTATTTTTTCCCCACGATTTATTTTTTCAATATTCCGAATTAAGTATTTTCCACAATTTTAATTTACTAAATTGTTGGATTTTTTTTTTGCTTGTATTTTGCCTTTTGTGATTAAATTCCCTACCGAACATTTTTTTATTTTTAGATTGCAAATCATTTTAAATTTTCTTCTCCATTTTTTCCCCATGATTATTTCCCTGAATTGGTCATTTTTTTTCATAAGATCTCCATATTTTGTCTATTTTTTTTTTAGGGTGGGAAGGATAGTATTTTCGTTTTTTTTTCCTCATCACTCAATATTTTGGGTATTTCCTTTCTCTAATATCGCTGTATTTTCTTCAAAATTATCCTGTGACCGCGACCCTTGTGAGGACGAGCGGATCGGAAAATGGATGGATGGTTGGATTATCCCGTGATTGATATTTGCCCTTTCCCTGGTTTTTTTTTTTCCCATCCCGCACGACTGGTGGCAATCATCAGATGACACGTTGACTGACTGACAAACGGACACGCACTGTTTCATTAATCTGATGACGGCGCCTTCGCCGTAACACATTTTACTGCAAGCCAGCGGACCACAAGGCAAAAGGTTCCCATGATTGGTCCACCCGGTACCAGCCCCCCCCTCCCGCTGCCTCCCCTTCTCCTGAACCCGCCGCTGGGGGAAGAACTGTTTCCACACGTGCTCATTAGGGTTTGGGGCGTCGGCCGCAGTCCTTTTATAGACTTCCTGCACAGCCAAAAAAGGCCAAGCCGCTGCCGTCGTCGTCAAACACGAGCGCGCGCGGCACTCTTGATGTTGTCATCGCTTATCAAGCTCACATGACGGGAGTGAAGGCTTTTTAATGAGTGACTGCTCACAATAGCAGCAAAACACCCCCCAACCACCCAAAAAAAAAGAAGAGCTCGTGATGGTGAGCAAAATTCATTCTAAGTCATCAATTACTTTGGATTAGTGGGGGTGTCAAAGTTAAACGTCTATTCAAGTTCATTTGTTGGATTGGCGGTGGGGGTCAAACGCCAGGCAAGGCGACGATTTGGAATTGCAGCAATAAGTTTGGCAATAAAAGTGTGATCCAGTTTCAGGATAGTCGCTTGTATTGAGAGTTTTAATGTTTTGTAAAGTTTTTTTTTGTAGACTTTTAAAAAAAATTGTTTCCCTCCATTAAATATACAGTTATTCCTATTTTTGTTCAACTTTTTTTTCACTTTTGTATTTCCAAATACTAATTTTTCATGTTTTTTTAAAATGATTTTTTATCGCATATTTTTCAATTTTCCATGTAACACTGTTATATTTGTCATCCAATGTGTGTATTATTTTTGCTTTTTCCCCATTTTATTTCTTGTCATATTTTTATCTATATAAGTTGATTCATTTCTTTGTATATTATTTCCCATATTTATATCCAGTAAGATGAATTTGTTTCATTTTTGTTGTTGAGTTGTCTAATACTTTTGACATTATCATGTACAATGTGCATAATATTTAGTTAAACTGGTACTGTCATTTAAGTGCTCTTTTTGTCTAATTTAGTCACATTTTTTTTTTGGTCCACTATTCTATTTTTTTCCATGGGTGTATTATTCAAAACAATTTTTTTTATTATTTTGTATTTTTTGTGAAACAACCACTCGACCAATTTTAAGTTGTAAAGATGCAGACGGCAACTTGAAAACAACCAAACGTGTGGTGAAACATTTAGGATGCTAACCTTGAGATTTGGGAAGCTCCATCAACACTTCGTTCGTCTTCTTTGCGCCTTCCTCCTCTTGTACTTGTTTGGCCAAACACTCCGCAGGCGAGATGAGCAAAAAAAAAAACAAAAAAAAAAAAAAAAAAAAAAAAACCAAAACACACACACATACATGTAAAAAATGCACAAAGATTGGAAGGGAGTCAGCCTTCAAACGTTTTTCCAACACAAACACCAGGATCCTTCAGCTGCGGCCTCCCCTCTCACCGCCCCCGCCCTTTTTTTTTTTAAACCTGTCAACAGGAGGACGCACAAATATTTAGATTTCAATCAATCACACTGAAAGCAGCACCATCAAGTGAAACCCGAGAGCATCAACGCTGTGAGCACGCATCAACTGGAAAACAATGGCAGCACTTTATTGCAGGTTTTGAACAGCGAAAGACACAGTACACGCAGACTTCAATGAGGGCAGACTTCTGTCAAGGCGTTTTTCCATTTGTGGAATCAATTCCGGGCCGGAACTGTTTCCAAATGTGTTCTCTGGCAATGACGACCTGAACTGATGAGATTTTGTGTGTTGGAATGCATTTTTACAAGTTCAAAGAAGAGTTGACAATATTTTGCTTACACTTGATTCAGTTTGTTGCAATTGACCGTAATTTGACAGATATGTTTATTTTTTTGTTGTTTTTGCCCATTAAACATTAAATATTATACAGGGGTGGTGTTTGCATTGGCCATCTGGGGGCAGTAGAAGACAGACATGTGGATACATTGTATTGGAGAGTCAGCTCCTCTCTCTGCTTCTCGGTGCGGCATTAATATTAGATATTCTTCGCAGGAGATAAAGAATATATCCCGCTGAGTGTTGTGACGTTATCTTTCGGTGTGTGTTGCTTAAAAACTAACACCGCCGCCACATAGATGCTAACCGTTAGCCCACATTTCTCGGTCTGGGTTAACATTAAGCTAGCGGAGACGACGTAGTTTGTTTAAAATACGCGACATGGAATGATTTTTCTTTTTTTTTTGACTGTTGCATTCGGATGAGAGTGGCAATGAACAACTTTGACCCCCCCCTCCATCCCCAAGAATATTTACAATTCCTATCTATCAAACTGGAGCTTATGGTGAAGTGAATTGAGACGCCGGCCACCATACAGCACGCGTATGGTGGGTGTTCGCAAGTCAAATGGGGGGGAGAAAATAATCTTGGCCAATCAGTGGCTTGTGTCTGTGATTTTTCAAGGCGCCATTGCAGACCCAAAAGTGTTGACAGGGACTTGTCCACAAACAGTCAAATATGATGCAAAACAACCTCCAGTCATAAAGCCAGAATTAACATCCTTGGTGCCGGTTTGAAAAAAAAAAAAAAAGAACAAAAAAAATTATAAATTAGCAGGTCATCCTCATTAAACATGATCGTGAGTTCACATCGTTCAAGCAGATGTAAACAACTTTGAGTGCACTTTTTTTTTTTGTCTCAAGTGGATGAGTGACAGCTTAAAAGGCAAACCTGGAGGGCATCTGGGGTAATGCAGTCTCGTCACAGTTTGCCGGTCCAACTGGCACAATTTCAGTTTCTTTGTTACCGCGCCGTCACCATCCACAGACCCAACGCCACGTTGGCGGCCAGCAGGGTGCTGCCGGCCAACAGCAGGAAGAAGCCCAGCAGCTCGCGCTTCTGCCGGTCCGGCACCAGGCCGGTCAGGGTGGCCTCCAGCAAGGCGTTGAGCATCCACTGGCCATCCAGAGCGAAGCACGGCACCGAGTTGACCACCGCCAAGGCGCCCGAAAGGGAAAACACGTACCTGGGTGGCAGGGGGTGGATAAGGACATCTAAGCTCGAAATATTTGGGTTAGAGATTTCTCACCATGGGCTATCGATTTTTATTCCTTTTTTTTTCCCCCCGTATTTTAAATAAATAAGAAAATTTGTTCGGGTCAGTAGCTGTCAATCAACTTTCTACCACCCGGGGTATCCTCGTGCCTATTGTTTAAAAATAAATAAATATATAAAGGTCCAATGGTTTTCGCTCTTTAATGCGACAGGAAAAAGGATACTTGCAGAATGTCTCCAAGAAGACGGGCAGGTCCAAGTGGAGGAAACCAACGCGAGGCACAAAGTTGGTCAGACTCACTGAGGAAGGGAGGGAGGTGGCGGGTATGGGTTACTTTCTGGTCAGTGTAAAACAAGTCAATTTTGGCGGTTGTTTAAGCTACAGGAGACTAGTCATTTCTCCGTAAATAACACAAGAATATTAATTCATTAAAAAAAAAAAAAGCCGTTACAACAACATGAAGGTTGTTGATGACATTTTTTTGTGCAGATCTGGTTGAGTTGGATGATTATTTTCTCACTTAAAAAAAATAAAATAAAATAAAGTGGTATAATGCCAAGTTAGAGCGGTCAAGGTAAAAACGATCTCTTAATTCTGCAATAAATGAAACAGACATAATAAATCATTATGTTTCATATTTTTTTCTTTTTTTAAGAATAGTCATGAGAACAAGAGCGAGATTACTTATCCGGTTTGCTTGTCATTTGCAACATTTGCACAAAAGGTTACTGTGCGGCCAAGATTAAAAACTGAAATAACATGGGGAAACTTCATACCGGCATGCTGGAGATGCGGCGGGTAGCCCACAAACAGCATATGGGCCTCAGGTGGGTGTGCCACCCGGATGAAGCGGGTCTGGTTCTGCAGGGAGGGAGTCACGCAGACGCCGCCACCCGGATGAAGCGGGTCTGGTTCTGCAGGGAGGGAGTCACGCAGACGCCGGGGCCGCCGTCGGCGTCGCAGTCGCGGTCGCTGCGGCACACCTGCGTGCCCGTCACCATTTTGCGCACCGGCATGCAGGCGTACTGCTGACAGAAATGGAGTTCAAAATCCCAACATGACACTGAATTCGAAGGATGTGAATGAAGGGGTGTGAGTGTGCGTGAGACCTCTCTCTCAGAAGTGTGCGGTTTGATGTAAGAGAAGCAAAGGTCCGTCAGGCTATTGTTGCTGCAGCAGTCCATCGTCCCGTCCAGGCGCTTGAACGCTGCAAGAAATCCATTTTGAGGTCCAAAAATCATACATTTTTTAATCTTAAAAACTACAACCTGTGTAAAAATCTAAAAGAATTATGAAA